TCTTTCCCTTTTTTTCATTTTCATACTTCGTTACTCACGTCCAAACAGGATTTTTCTTTGCCTTGCTTGAATCTGCAAACGAGCATCCAGATGGGAAGTTGGATCACTCCCAGCGCCAAAAGTAGCCAACCAGCAACTGAAAAACGGAATTTCTGGTGTACATCTGCGGACCTTAAGTCTATGGGAATTCGTAGAAAAACTGTAGGCTTTTGAGTTTATAGACTAGTATAAAAATCGCGTATAAGTCGTGTAAGTCGTGTATACCATAGGCGGAAGTGGGGTAATATTCGCCATTGTACTTAATGGGTGTGAGTTCCGTGAGAAAGTAGACGAGGATCGACAAAAGCGTCAATGGCGTTAGGTAACACCAGCAGAATCTCCAGTAGAACGAAGGTCTGCTGCCTACCATGAACTCGGTGTCGTCCAGAAAATTGTCGACTCCTGTAGAAGACGTAAGAAATCAAATTTGCGATCGATGAGAATATATTCAATAAAGTCTCACAGTCTTTACCGTATACCCAGGAAATGGCGATAACTTCGAAGAAAGCGAGAAATACTATGATAAACGTCCCTCCAAAATAGTCCACCAGATTTAAGATATATTGTCCACCCTAGGAGATTTGACAGAAAGGAAGAATAATACATCAGATCGCAATTCTATTAAGATTTTCATTGGAGGAACATGTTATAGGAAGAATCGAGGCTCATGTCAAACTTAATCGTATGGAACCACTCATCTCCTAAGAATCAAGCTAGACTTTTATGAAAATAAGCTTGAAACAGTAAAAAGTAGGACACGATTTCACTCATAAAAGATCTTTGTTAATTCTCGGTATAGATTTGTTTAGTTGTATGTTATATTGAGGAATATTTTGTATCACAAAGGCTCGATAAGTGCAAGGTTTGAATTAACACGTACACTCGTGCAATAAACGATCCCAACCAGAAAGCCAGCGCAAGAAACGCCACCAGCTACCTTCCAATCCTGCAAATGAGGGAATCTGTCCTTGATGACACTGCTGATAACCGCTGTGAACGCCACGGTGGTACCGATTCCCAGGATGAATAGCATCAAGAAGAATAACACAGCGAACAGTTGTGGAACTACGGTGAATTTTGCCAAGGCTTCTGGATATGAGATAAAAGCTAGCCCTGTCCCTGCACGAACCACGGTACTGATGTCCTCTTTACCAGATTCGTGAGCAAGATTGCCTAGGATGCCGAAGATCGTCGTTCCTGCTATCAGACTCGTGCCTAGATCCATGGTCGTCACTAACGTGCAATCTCTGAAAAATTGATTTTGAATTTTATCAAATAAAAATAATAAAATGTTTGGGAATAATTACGAGACTTTACACAACTCATTCTGCACATAAGATCTTAACAAAATTGAATTTATGTAAACGTACATAATAATTCTTTCATTTTCTTCTAGTCACTGAAAGTCCCACTCGAAGAAAAAGAACTAATTAAAGAAAATAATCGAGATTTTTTAAATAATTCGGATTGAATATAAATTTTATGTTAATCACCCAATTGGAGGAATATTATTTTAAAGGATCATAAGACTCTGAGCTGTGCAGATAGTGATGAGAGGTGAGAGATATTGATCGATGTGTCCTTTTCATCAAGAAATTGAGAATTATCTGGGATTAGATAGAAACGCTGAATGAACCAATTAATTTTGATTACCTCAGTACGTTATGGTCGAAACGATTGTAGGAGGAATACATGACAACAGCCCCGAAACAAACTCCAAGAGAAAAGAAGGATTGAGTCACGGCTGCGTACCATACGGATGGGTTTAAGATCATCTCCCAAGTTGGCTCGAAAAGGAATATTATGCCATTGACTGCTCCATCCAAGGTAACTGCTCTCACCAAAAGGGTTATCATGATGACGTATGGGAACAGAGCGAGGAAATACGCAGCTTTTCCGCTACTTTTCACACCGTTCCTGAGTACTATAAAGACAAATGACCAGCTGACGAGTAGAGAAAGGACCAACTTCCAAGATGGAAGTCCGAGTCCATCTTCGATCCCAGCTTCGTTCAGGACCACTTTGCTGGATGAGAGAAAAGAAAGAGAATTCTTCTGAGAGTAAGGTTACGTTAAAATTAATTTAAAGTCAGGACTATAATATGTAGCTAATTAAATATGGATAGAAGACAATTATTATGTATTTTCTTGGTTAATCGACTTTAATTTATTTAATGGATATTTATGGAGTTCTCGGACTACCTACCGGAAGTATAAATCAGCTGAGCTACTTTTGCTGATATTTGTTACTTCGTTGCTAGCCAAAGTACTGTCGAAACAGGCATCTCCCCATTCCGGCCAACAAAAAGCCCAGGGAAGGACAGACTGAAAGCTGGCCAGCAGATAATACACCGTCAGTGCCATCAGGGAACAATAGTAAGTGACGACTGAGAAAACGGAAATGGTCAGACCATAACCGATACCTGAAACAATCGAGGGAATTATGCCTTGTAACTTTCCCATATATCTGTTAATATACGTAGCATCCCATTTGTATCGAAGCTATAATCGAAAGAAGAAATAAATATAACTACTGGTCCAAGACCAGATAGGTAGATATACAAAAGAGAAATGAAGAGGATTAATGGGACACCTCGTGCATTATAACTAGAGTTTATGGCAGTTATGGTACCTCTGAAGGCAGGAGAGACAGACCAAACTTGTACGCAGGACCTGCTACTAAATTGACCTAATATCATTTCCATGTAGTAGATGGGTTTGCCAATAATGAACAACACGATGATATATGGCACGAGGAATGCACCACCGCCATTTTCATAAGCAGTGTAAGGGAATCTCCAAACATTTCCAAGACCAACCGAGAACGCCACACAGGACATCAGGAACTCCACTTTGCTACCCCATTGAGCTCTTCCGCTTTCATCCTCAACTGCAGCAGTTGTGGACTGGAAAAAATGTACAATTATTTCTGTCACACTATTTTAATCCAGTAATGCTAATTTTGGATTCATTATGATTTAAATCAATCTTCAAAATCAATCAGAGATGTACAAATACTAGAAATTATATTTAAGAATATTTAGGACAAAAAGCTTTCGAGATATTGAATATATAACAAAAGTAGTATTAATATTAATATTAATAGTGTACAAATTAGATTGTTTTCTTCTTCAGTATCGCGTAGCTTATAATAAAACTAATATCAACGTAACATCTTGAAATTTTCCAGGAAATATTAGTAACGAAAATATTCTAAGAGCGGGAACAATGCAAGAGGAACTCACCCCATTCTCAAGAGGTTTCTCGTTTCCTGATATCATAGAAAGCCTGTACGAGCCTTCCACGCTGTCGTTGTTGACGAAACTGTTCTGCGAACAGAAACTACATACGTTAACCATCTTTCTGTCATTATTTCGCGATTTCCGCAGTCGCAATTAAACACCACAAACTTCTCAATTACCCCGCCGTTTACGTAACCCCATAACGACATATCAGCGAATATTTCTCTACAGTTTGACTACGTGTGAACTGGTCTGCGGCCAACACGTAATTACAGGCAGATATAAGTCTGATAGCGGGGAGGATTTTGAACGAAACGTTGTTTGATCTGCGATTCCATCGGTCGACAAATGGATGAAATAATGGTAAGAGGAAGTATAACCTCCCTTGCTCTTTTTACGCGTCGTCTCTCGTTCGAGACGCTCGACAATGGCGCGTTTAGGTTCATGCATGGGATCTTGAAAGAAAAGCAAAGAAAAATCCAAGCAAATCGGGTAAGAAATAAAGCAGGAAGTTGGAGCGTGTTATCGCTGGAATGGAAACTCGGAAAAATTGGATGGAAAAATTTTAATTCATTGACTCATCCTGATATACCGTATCGTGCACAAAGATATGGAACAATGCTTTTAATAGAAATTAAAAGACGCTTTCGTGAAGAACATTACGTCAAATAACATCGAGTACCTTTAGAAAATTTCCTTGCACGATCTCCAAACGTGGATCACGAAAATTAATGCATTTTAATTCCGCAGATATATCTTGCTAGTCGAGGGAACTGTTTTTAGAAATTTTGTTTAATTACTGCAAACGTGTAGCTGCTTTTGACCAAATTAGTGGACCTCTATTGAGATAAGATAGTAAGAGTATACATACGTCAATTTATTTCTAGTATTTTATTCCTTTGATTATTACTATCTGCATACATTTTTACGCTATAGTAAGATTCGCGGTGAGGATCAGGTCTAATATCGATAGGAATATAATTTAATATCGTTTAATGTGTTTTAATATGATTCGAAGTACGATGTGTAGTGTGTCTTGAAATTATGTCGAGATAATTGAAGGATGGGCTAACGTAGCCATCAAGATAAACGAGTTAAGAAGTTAATACGAGTTTACAACTGCAATTTAGATTAGGCTTCTGAAAAGTATTCGACATTTGAAGCAACAAATTAGAAAATATTATATACACGAGAATCGACAGGTTTCGTATATCGATAATAAAAAAGAAGAATTATCAAACTTGGAGAAAACGAAAACGGGAATCCGCGTTTATCCGACAGATCGATGCAGCGATCATTGTGTAAGACTAAACTTCCGCAAATTGTTCTGCAAAATTTATCTACCGGTAGTAATCACGGATGCTTCTATAATTTATGCCATGTTCGCATAATCAAACGAAAAATACGAACCTTTGTGCAGCGCATAATCACTCCCGCGTGCGATTACACCATGAATCGTTCTCCAGTGATCTAAGCGCGATCTTTGCGAGGCAAAAGCGTTTGGAAGACTGATCGACGACTTTGTTCACTCGCATAAACAACGTGCCGTGTGAAATCTCGAAAATAGCAGGTAGTGCTATAGTGCCATTTTCCGAATATCAGTTTTTCCCTCTGGACATTTCCTTTTCTCCTCTACGTTATTCCTTCGTGCAAAGAGCTCCTCTATCTAGAAAAACAAATTTCTGTACTGCAATTCGCTGGAGAAAATTGAATTCAAACTGTAAAGTAAAATTACGCAAATTCTTTCTCTAATGGAATATTTTAATTTATATTAAAAATTTATATTATAGTTATGCCATAATTATCTATCAACATTATTATATTCGTGTAAAATGGCTCGAAAATGTCGAGAAAAATTGTTTAAAATTTTTATCCCGATATTTACGCCGCAATTATATTACAAATATGTTTATGAATATATAAAATATCCTCGTAATGAGAACGTATGCATGTCGAACAATATGGAACCAAGACAAGTGGACTCGAAGATATATCCATACGTCAATTCGTGATTCACACGTGTGAATCTGGTATACAAACAGGAGGAAGCCACCTCTTGTGAAAGAGGAAATAGAATTTGTACCTTACCATGATTTTTTTGTCGGTATCAGTCACAGATATCAGATAACCCTGTGTCGTGATGTAACAAACAAATGTTTTCCTACGTCGTTTTAATTACTGCATTCCCAGATCGATTTTGCCATTCACGTTTAGTGCATTACGAAGAGCAGTATTCAAATTACTTTCGAGTGCAGAATTGCATTTTTCCTGTCTCGAGAAAATCTCTCTTAAACTTCACACCAATTAAACCTTCTTCCCTACCTTCGGTTAACACCATAAGCTTCTAAAACGATCGTGTGTACAGGAAAACAAATCTCACAAAAAATCGATAAAAATTTACTCAAACTATTTCGAAAAATTTGTTAAAAAATTCTTCTGCAAATTTAGGGTTCTAAAATTTGACGTAATAAACGTGTTTCTTCACGTTTGAATGATCCTGATGGCCTTGAAAAATATCGAAGGCCATAGTTGATGAAGTTTTCTCGGCTCCATAAGAAGTAGATTAAGAAATAGTAGAGCGAATTACTTCGTGAAATGCAGGATTATTCGAGTGTAATACGTTCACCGCGCACCTAAACCATACGGCGATCACAGTGCACGTCATGTTTCGAACACACGCGCAGAAAAATGGTCACTTTTGTTGAGCGAAACTATAACAAGATTTACATTTAGAATTAACAACACCTGGTCACAAGGTATGCATAATCTCGAAATTGTATTCGACAAATCTGCCTCTGATGGCGTGGTCTGTTTGGTAAATCGTGCACGTCGAACGATCCGCGATCGTAAACGATAGACTCTTGCGCACGACCGACTGGTTTTCATTGGGAATTTCAAAACGAATTCTTTTCCATACAACGTCATTCTCCGTTAAAAAAAGAAAATACTAGCGGACCGTGAAAAAATACGCTGCCCTGATTTTTACTTTCACGCTTGAATGCGCCCGAGCGTTTTCCTCTGCACGTTGCCACGTTATTAATGGTAATTATACGAATGCTTTCGAGCATGACTGGTATGGAGATTAATACTAGTCTGTCTTATCAATCGGTCGTTCGTTCCAGTGAAAAAATTACTCTCCACTGTTCACCTTGGGATCTATTCTAGCTGCATAAAAGTGTATGGTCAATCCGGGTATTTGTCCCGGAGGAATTGGTGAGAGGAAATGAAGGATATCGAATGGTACAGACATTCATACATTTAATCCTTTTAATTCTACTTTAAAAAAGTCTCGACGAAACCGCCTCTGTGCCGAAATTTCTTCTCTGCTATGAATTCCTTCCACTCTAGGCGAGTCTTAAGGTCACTGGGTCCCCATTTCTCCTCGCAGGGACTGAACGCTGCTTTGATAGTCTGGGATGGAATGCAAATTGTTAAATCGTAATTATAATTCAATTTTGCAATTCTAATTTGTATTCTTGGAAGTCACTTACTCCGATCAACGATCGTGATCTCAGCTGCACCAGTTTTTGTAAGACGCAGCCAACGATCATGATGATCCCTAGACATAGTAGAGACCAGCCAATTCCTGTGGATATATCAACGATATTAATTTTTTATTCGAATTTAGATTTAATTATTAATTAACGAAAGCGTTCATTAATGATTTTTGTCCAGGTTACTGTCTTCTCTTGATCCAGTGTCGTTTTGAGAGAACATTTTATGACTTTCTGAACGTACTGTACATTTAGTTTTCACAAATGCATGCATCTCGATGTAATCGTTGAACCTTATTTTTCCAGAGAAGGAGAGATGACCCTGTTTTTCAGTCTGGTCATTCGCTATTTGAATATTAATTAAGGACGAAGGATGTAAGATAGGAGTACAAAGTGTTTAGTTACCATAAGCGTACGTTGGAAATTGTACGCCGTTGTAAGTAGGTGGTTCGTAAGTGATGATGCTGTACATCAGGATGACGATCATTAATATCGGAGTAATCAAAGCCCAGCAGAACCTCCAGTAGAGCGACGGTCTATGCCCTAACATAAACTCGATGTCATTGAGGAAATTCGATAGACCGTAGATCCAGAATACCGATATCATTTCCAACACTCCTACGATGATTGCCACTAATGTACCGCCATAGTAGTCGACCAACGTCACGAACCACTGACCTCCCTTGAATAATTAAACTTGAATAACTGATTGACATGTCCCGCGACAAAACTTGAGAATATTATGAAAACATTCAAACGAGAGTTTAAATTCAAAAAATTTTAGAAAGCTTTAAAAATAATTTAGAAATATTGTAACAACTTTTCGAAACCTTTAAAAACTTTAAAACGGTATATATATATATTTGGTTAAGCAGAAATGAATGGCACTTTGGTACCGTTTAAATCCTGACGAAATCCTAATGAAATGGAATGTGCTAAAATGGAACGCTTCTCTAATACTTACAGGAGTGATGTAGACGAGGCTAACGATGAATCCAAAAACAGAGATGAGAAGTACCAGCTTCCAATGTCTCACATTCGGAAAAGAGTCACAGAGGATGCTGAAAACGGCACCACAAAGGGCCACAGCGCTTCCAACGCCGAGCACGTACATCATCACGAAAAACAGAACAGCGAAAAGTTGGGGAACAACATTAAATTGGGCCAAAGCCTCGGGATAAGAGATGAAAGCCAGGCCTGTACCACCGCGAACTACTTTCGATATGTCCGTAATACCCACTTCGTGAGCCAGGTTACCGAGAATACCAAAAATCGTGCAACCTGCTATTAGGCTGGTGAATGTGTCCAGAGTGGTCACTATCATCACGTCTCTGAAATCCAGTGAAACATTTTGTACATCGACGTTGAACTAAATTTGAGTTAAGAAAAGATACATATATGCAAAAAGGTATACTTAAAGAGTAACCATGACAAATCATTCCCTTCGGTCCCTTTCTAGGGATCCAGATTATTTTATTTTCCAAAATGAAAAATATACCGTCCTGAACTTCGGGATTCCATATGTGGTCGGTAACTTTACGAATCTCACCTGCTCACGTTCTGTTTGAAGTTGTTGTAAGACGAGTACGTGATGATTGGACCAAAACAGACGGAAAGAGAGAAGAAGCATTGGGTGATGGCTGCGTACCAGACATTCGGTTGCCAGAGCTTGTGCCATTCCGGGGTAACAAGGAAGAGAATTCCGTCGAGTGCACCCTCAAGGCTCACGGCCCTGATCAATAAACCGATCATGACAATGTAAGGAAATATGGCAAGGAAGTATACTGCTTTCCCCGTGCTCTTCACACCGCGACACAGGACTCCGAATATCGTTGCCCAGCTTAAGAATAAGCAGATGGAGAGCTGCCAAGAGGGCGCCCCGATCCCATCCTCGATGGACTCGTACTCGTTCAGGACGATCTTCCTGGAAAATAATGGCACAGAGTATTACAGAAAGTAAAAATTACACTGTCGGTAGTTAGTAGAAAAATGCAAAAATGAAAGGACACGGTCTAGAAACTGGTCAGGACTTGACACTGGAATTATTAGATTAGACGAAATGATCGGCCCCAGGCTATTTCCTTTTGCAGTTACTGGAAACTAGCTTATTGCTAAGTTAATATTGACTTTTATACTGCTTTAATTATCGCTATCTGTGTATAATGTAATAAACTACGAACGACAGGTCTATTATTAGAAAGAAATTCCAGAGTAATTGTGAGAATTACAACATCGAAGTTATTATTAAAGATAATGTTCAAGACGTTTATTGCGTAATAAATAGAAATTTGTCTTTGAAGATAAGATTATTAAGAAATTCTTCTTTATCCAGGAAATTCGTTTTACTTTTCTTAAATCGTTTAAAAAATTCTTAGGTTCTGCTTACGAACCTAAAGTATAGTTCTGCAGAACTGCGACGGGTACCATTGTTATCGGCGAAGAAGCCAGTATCCTTGTTGCTATCTTTCGAAACTGTATCGATGCACTCATCCTTCCACTCTTCGCGACAAAAGGACCAAGGTAGCTCGGATTGAAAGCTAGCCGCGAGGTAGTAAAGTGTTAGACCCATTAAAGAGCAATAATAGGAGACAACGCATAAGGCCGCAAACGTTTGGCCATATCCCAAACCTAAAATGGCATTTATGTTTTATTAAGTAAGGTATCTAAACGAGAGACATCTAATAAACAAATTTTTCTATTAATTTTTATTTCAGTCGTTACCTTTCATGGCCGGTACCATGGCCCAAGTCTTCGCGCAGGATTTATTGGTAAATTGACCCATGAGGCCTTCCAAAAAGTAAAACGGTTTGCCGACGAGCAGCAAAACGACGATGTAAGGTATCAGAAAAGCACCACCTCCATTTTCGTAGGCAGTGAACGGAAATCTCCAGACATTTCCGAGGCCAACAGAAGTGGCGATGCATGCCATTAAAAATTGCAGACCTCCGCCCCATTCTTCTCTCTGGGGGATAGATTTTAGAAAAGTAAAAGCGAAAACTGTTACCATTTCATTTTTACCAATGGAACAAAATTAATAATACCATAATAATTACAGTAAGAATTATATAGCAACGATTATTATACCTTTTAGTACTCTAAAACCGATATATCGAATCCGCCTTCGTAGATTTCTCAAAAAATACCGAACAATGCACAACGTGAAAATGTTTTAACTTTCAGGAGAAGATTGTTAATCTTAGTAAATTCCTCCGAATTATTTTGGTCGACGCCCTTAAAATTTGCTATAAGGATTAATAATAACAATTCTCATTAATTTTCTACTGCCAGTCTAATTAATTCTAGCCTAATTATATTCTTTGGACAATAAAAACGTTAAAGACGAAAATAATAAATGTTTCGAAAAGCGAATAAACTCTTCTGCAACTCGGTAATGCAAAATGATAAAAGCATTCTAACGATCCTCTACGATTAAAATAATTGTGTCGCATAATTTTCATGGAAATGAAAACGAAATTAAAGAATGAAAATAAGGTTACGCGTAAGGTACAATAAACGTTTTATCTATATAACTTGGTAGTAAAAAGGCATCGAGATAAACGGCATCCTGATTACTCTGAACAAAGACGCGATGACAACACGGAGGAATTAAAAGCGGAATATAACGATTAAAAAAAGAACGGCTTTATTTAACGACAGATCTGAATCAGCGCAAACGACACGGAAACGAAGGCAAAATATGAAATTAAATGAAATGAAATGACAAAGGTCGTCGAGAAAAACTCGGAATTACGTTGAAAAGTAGATGGAAATTGCGTGCAAATTGATTTCGTTATCGTCCTATTGCCATTCTGCGTGATATTGGAACAAGCAATTATCGACTATTCGTCAATCAGTGAAAAAGAGAAATAAAAATCACATACGGAGGATGTTCCATTTCCCGATGTTTCTTGCTGCACCTTCGATTCTCCTTTCGTCTTCTCCACATTCTCGACGTCGTTCCCTCTTTGCTCCAGATAAACATTTTCCATCTGAAAAGCCTCGTTCGTGTAGCCATTCTGTTTCTGTAAATATTCCATTTGTTCACCAATAACTCCAATCGGCTCGTTCTTTCTTAACAAAATGCCTCACGTAAACTCCGTTCTCGATCTTCTCCATTCCCCTCAAGTATCTTCGGGAACTACCAAATTTTTTATCCTAGAAATCTCCTAATCCTTCGCCAGTAATCCCCGAAGATAATTTCGCCAGCGATTCACTGAATTTTCATATCGATACTTATCGTCTTATCATCATTCGCGAAAAATGCGATGCGGAAGATCGTAAATGACGATCGCGATATTCCGTAATTACCTGATAATCGTTTCGTTACGGGAAACACGATCATTCGCAGTCAAATCGATCCGAAAGATGATCGCTCGAATATATTCGTCGAATCGTCGCAAAACTTGGAGATCATCCTGGAGTCAATTCTCCCGCGAACTGGCGCGAATTTTTGAAAAGTTCACTTCACTTCAGTGCCGATTACTCGAATTAAACAATCCGTTCGAGAGAATAGGACTTTAAAATTCGGATGGGTGATTTAGACGAAAGGATGCTAAAAATAATAACAAGGATAATAGCAAGGATAATTATTATGATTCGAAAAGCAACGAGATTCACTGTGAGGAAAGTGATTAAGCGAATGGATTTAAGTCGTGCTAAGGCAACTATTCTTTCGAGGATGGTTTTTGGTAACTGAGGACAGGTAGGATAGTTTCCAACGACTGTCCGAGGATGTTTGATCAGCGAGCTGCAACAAAGACTGACTCGTGCAAAGTAAAGCTGAGTTTTAGCGCGCGCGTCGATTAGATACTATCGACGTAGACGTTCTCTTTCGTTCCTCGAACTTTATGTCGGTTCTGTCAAAGTGCTCTATGCACGATACCGATGCTGCACGTGTCGCCTGTTGCAAGAGGTATTCACGTCCGAATTGTAAAACTTACGAGGTTCGTGCTGTTCTCGCAAAACAGAGGAATTTTAGGTTCTTACACGTGAAATTCCAGGATTATTAGTATTTCGGATTTCTTTTTAAAGAACTAGTGGAATTTTTTCTTGGTAATCCGAATCTTTTGTTCCTCTAATTCCTTAACCTTTTGTTACTTTTAGTAAGAAAATAAAATAACTCGGAATAAGATAATTCGAAAGATACAGTTCTCCAAAATGACGGATGATTCTTGCGACAGAACCAACAATATCGTGTCGAAAGATTGCCGAACAATATCGTACTTTATCAATAAAGTTTATCGATTTGATATCATGATCTATTGCAAAGACAGGACAATAAAAGCAGGAAATCCAACGATTATTCTGGAATGCGTAAGCCTCGAAGCTTCATCCGGCGATAAAGAGTCGTAATCAGCATGTTCCTTTATCAGCGTCGATGAGAATAGGTCAAAATCGTAAAACCATAAAGACCATCGTCGGTGTCATTCGATCTTAAACTTGCTACTTAACCTGCTTCATCGACGTATATCAAGAAAATAAAAGAGAGAGAACAAAAGTACAGATAAAATTGTAATAAATGATCATAAATCACTAGATTCTATTGCTAATTCTGCCTGTAAAATTGAAAAGAAATACACCTCGGAGACCTAAAAAGAAGAAATATTTTTTACTAGCTATTAAAATCGAAGCGTCGTGAAAATCGCGGAAATAACACGACATAACAGTGCTTCGTGGAAGATGCAAACCAGATGCGTGACACTCGCCTGTCTGCTTCCTGATGTCATAAACGCAAATTGGCATATCAGCTTAGGCTGAAACGCCGAGATATTTTTCGATTGCCACGAAACTCTATCGGAATACTCGAAATTGCATCGACTATCAGTGACTTTCTTCGCGAATTTCACATCCAACGGTCCGGAAAATTCCTCTCCCCTAAAGTTCTAGGGAAATGCGTCTCTTTCACCCGAGGAATTCCCAGAATTGATAGAAATAGGAGTTTCCGAGAACTCTGATTGCAGTTACTTAACTAACCCTTTCGTAACCGATACCGATTTTTATTTCTTCATACGTTTCATTCCTCTTTTCGCATATCATTATCTAATTCCATCGTGTAATTCCGAGAATCTATTTAGTCGTACTTAGCAATGGCTACGTAATATATCCAACATTGACGTAGTGAAAGGGTTAAAGCTTGTAATTCACCTAACTGCAGAAATGCCTTAAATGTTTTATCTTATTTTTCAACTGAAACACGCGAAATATAAAAATCCGAGGAAGCAAAGATGTGAGAAAAATATAAATTCTGAGAAAAATACGAAGTACAAAAATTTCGTTATCTGTTCATTTTTCATATATTTCTAACTATCTGACTGCTTTATCGCTTTACGATTCTTTATGTGTATTCTTTATTCACCAATCGATGCGTTCCTCTCTGTATTCTTTATTCACCAATCGATGCGAGAAGAAATATAAAAATGGTAAGAAAAATAAATGATTTTTTGTGGTTGTCTAGAATTTCATGCTTTGTCGTTATATCTCTCGGCTATCCTATGAGTTACGTCAGTCGTGGCTCATGATAGGCATAACTTTACGTCAGTCGTAACAGACATGATTTTTTAATATAGAGCATCCATGTTAACTACCTTGGCAGCTTTGTCAAACGACTAGTTACAAAAATGTTTCATAATAATCAATGAGACACGTTTCATCGACGAAGAAACTCACCACGGTTATCATTCAGCTTCTCTAAACAGCGAACACTGATCCCTTAATCAAGAACAACGTTATTTGCCATGTGACGTAAGAAAATCTCGGCTAAAACTCAACACAGTTGCGATTTGCGACGGATTTCACGGTGTAGATCTTGATTATGCCAGTCTTGAATATACCTGCAACAAAATTCTCATGCAGTGCTAATTTCCTCCCATTTTTGAATTTTTTAAGAGTGTGTACAACATAGTCAGAAATATCTAAATGCAATGTAACAGAATAGTAACGTTGCTATTTTCTTCTCAACATATCCCTTTTACTACAAACACGACCACTGCGTTTATACAGGGTGTCCCAGCAACAGTAGTACAATCGGAAAGGGGCTGATTCTACGTGAAAAAATAAATCGAAAATAAAGAATAAAATTTTTTCATTCGAAGCTTCGTTGTCGAGAAAATTGACTTTGACTATTCCATGGTCCATCTACCTAACAAGGAGAATGTAAGTCCTTCGGGTCACCGATTTAGTTGAAACTTTGCAGTTTTGTAGATATCGTCATGCAGTTTAAGAAAATATATCATTATAGCCGCAACTACTCAATAATTTTTAAGATATTTGCGATTAAAGTTTATTACCACCACAATTACATATTTATTTCTAATATGTTTACAGTTAAATTGTAGCGTAACGGCTAAAATCGAGAATTCCTATACTGGTAGAGCGGGGTTCGATTCCCGTCCATAGTTTTTTTCCATATATTTTTTATTTTGTATTCATTTTTAGCCTATAAAAACATTGTAAGTAAACAATTGTAACTAAAATTTCTTAATAAAACAATTTATTTTTTACGCTTTCTTATGCTAGTATATATTTATTACAAAATAATAAGAATATTATGCAAGAAAAATACTTTTCTATAGCAATCTTATTTACTACAGGAAATACAAAACTTATCGCTCGTGTAAGTATTAATTATTAAATTAAACATTGTATAAGAATGTTGCCTATAATTCCAACTTTACTGTGCAGCTATAAATGTTCATGAATTAATTACAAAAACTTGGAGATTTATTAATTTTCTACTGTCGAATTGATTTCTAGTATCTAGTTCGAATACAAATTTTACCGCCTGCGATCAGCGCCATCTATGATTTTGGACCATTTGCTCGGAAAAGTGATAGGAACATAGAATAGGCAAGGAGGTCGTCGAAGTGCTCGTCACGTGACAGACATGGACAGAGAGAGGATAGAAAAAGATAGAAGGGCTCCGACGGAGAAAAGTTAATAAATTACTCAATTTCCGTAATTAATTTATGAACTTTTATAATTTCATTGCAAAGCTGGAACTTCAGACAACATTCCTATATAACTTTTGTAAAGAATTTAACTCTAAATTGTTAGTTATTAATTCTTCTTTGATGGCGTCTATGATTTCGTAACGACGACCATCGCGATCTTCCGAGAATATAATTAATACTAAACGAAACTAGAATGAAAATGTGATCAAAAGTTATATGAGAAGATTCGCAAGAACATTGTTTTTATAATGAGTGTATAAAGTTTCATATATTAATTGCCTAAAGGATAGTAATTAATGAAACACCAATGGCGTCTTCGACAACAATTCATATACCCGGCAGAATAATAATTAATAATTAATTAATTAGGGACAAATTTATATCGAAAAATATATTGGAAAGTTCTTGAAGGATCCGGCTTTAAGATGGAATTATAAAAGTTCATAAATTAATCACAGATATTGAGTAATTAGTGAATTTTCCACTGCCGATTTGATTTATTAAAATATATTCGGAGCACATAACCAGAGTTAGTAAACCGACTTCAGAGCCATCTATGATTTTAGACTCGAAGCTCGAGTTCCGTAACAAGAACATAGATGGCTCTGATGTCAGTTTACTAACTCTGGTTATGTGCTCCGAATATATTTTAATATATTTTAATAAACCAAATCATAAAGTTTTTTACATTATTTTATAAATTCAGCCCAAACAGTCGCTTTAATTAGACAATCAGCATTCATTTCCTTATCTGACAGACGACAAACATTCCAAGGTACGCCTTTACCACGCAGTTATAAAATTTCATAAATTAATCACTGAAATTGAGTGATTTGTTAACTTTTCCCTAAATGAACAGGAGAATGCATAGGAAATGAGAAAAAAATGCAAACAAACGCCGGAAGCATTGCTGTGTCCATGCAAGTGTGCCTGCATCACGAAAAGAATGTAAGTATTTTTATTAACATAACCTTTAGTTGTCATTAAATAGTGTAAGTTATTGTTTTTCCACCTTTTATTAGTGATAGCAGAGCTTGGTTGTGAAAAGGAAATATTCTGTTGAAATAAACAGGCACGTGCAACAGTAGAAAAATATTGGAATCATGGAATATCACTAGCGTAGAACCATTAGATGTAGAAGAATTATATTTTATAGTGAGAAAAAATTGAAGCAGCAATACAAATATGTAAGTTATGATATGTCTATTGGATTCTAGGTTGGCTAACTATATGACATACAAGATAGAAATCTTTGATGGTCAAATAAAGATTCACAAAATGGAAATGGCTTAGGCAGACAAAAGATTGAAATTAATTTAGGTGATGGCCTCTTATAACAACTAGATGTACAGAATACAGCGAGATTGAAAGGTATATTGTATTCCTGATCTAAATAAATATTAATATCAGTGGTCAAAGTCAATGATCA